ACGTAGAAAATATAGCAGCCGAAGCTAAAATGTGTTCACGAAGACCGTGGAGAGTCGATTAGGCGGCATTCGCTGCAACTCGAACTGACGTATGTATTTAACGACATGGCGCATTTCTGGCTCAATGGGTGTTTAAACAAGTAAAATTGCCGGATTTGAAACAAAGAGCAACCAGAAGAGATTCAAGAGCTGCAATTTCAACCAGAAACGAGAATGTTTTGCTGTGATTTGTGGGCCAGTAGAATCATCGGTCCGTATTGCTTCAAAAATGATGCCGGTGACGAACGAATCATCRAAAATTAGACTCAACGGTTGTACCATAATCTTCSAAAAATAAATGCCAAAGAATGTTCTTTGGAATGATAATAAACATTCCYCATWAAATTTGAAGTTTCTGTKTTTTTTCTTTAAAAAGGGAGGGAACCTCGAAATGGATCACCCTTGACCGATCGCMGTTGTTGTAAGAAATTTTGAATCATGTTTTTTTAATTTTTTTTAGTGTTTGATTAAYGAAAAACGCATTTCTAACGATCTATTACAATATTGGATCATTTATTTTTGAAGGCTTATATATATTTACAATATTAATGGAAGTAAATTTGTATATAATAATAGAGGTTGGTATAATAAGGGGAGATTGGTAAGGTTTGTATATACTTGTATGAATGTAACTAGGTAGGTAGGTAGGTAGGTAGGTAGGTAGTAGGCATGTATGTGTTATATAATTAACGGCGCGGCGCAGTAGACAGCTACAACTGGCTGGGCGCACACAATATAATTATCATAATAATAATAATAATAATAATAATTAAGTAGAACTAGGATATATAAGCAGATAATATTAAACTAAAAAATATTCATTTATATATATATTTATGTGTAAGTGTATATTTAAAATTACTTAGCCATTCTGTTCGACAGACTAACTGTTTTAACTTTGCATGCTTTGCTACGTTTTTTGTTTTCTTTTTTATACGCTCGCATTGATTTATTTTAATAATTTTCGTTTTATGCAGTTTTTGGATTATTTTATATAAATTTTTTTTCTTTCGCTTTTACTTAAATTTTTATGTTTTTCTGCATTTTTTTGGAATTTAAATTAATTTAATATTCATACGCGTATATATGCCTATTTATTTACTGCGTTCAGTATGTATTTCTATTATATACTATATATACATATATATATATAAATTTAAATATATATGTATATGCATATTTTTTATTCCGCTGTAACTTTTTTTATTTTTTTGGAACACTTTTTTTTTTGCTCGCTTTATTTTTCCTCTTTGTTTAATATTACTTTAATCAACAACGTATGCCTTCAACCCTCCGAATAGGACGACAGACTACTGCGTGTGGAGCCGGTAAAGTGATCGCGCTGTAAGGTGTCGGACGGCATGGAAACCACCAGTGCGCCGCCATACAACGATTCCATCTCGTCCAATTGCTGTGCGAATGTTTCCTCCAGCCGCTAATTTAAATGAAATTCAAACCAAATGATGTAAAGAAGATAAACGTGCCACAACAAACGGTACAACAACAACAACAGATGAGTCAAATGAACGTTTAGTGGGATTGAATATGGTATAGTTTGGTTATATAATATAATCAGTTAGTTGTATCGATAGTCGGACAAGAGCCAGGGAGAGAGTGAAAAATGAGCCGATTAAGAGAAAAATTACAAAAAATTCAATTAGACATATGTAGTATGTATATAGAATAGAATGTTCATATTACAACGTTTATGTAGTTTTGCTATTTACATAATGCAGGTATGTACATTATGCCTACCTACATAGGCAGAAATATGTTACTGATTATGTTAAGCAGCAAGAAATGTTAAAAGAGTGTTAAAACATAAAGCTAATTAATTAAATTTTAAAGTTAATTTTTTTAATTATAGAAAATATTTGTTTAATCAAAGAAAATATTTTTTTTT